ATTACCTGATCTTGTAGATAAAGTCAACAAAGTTAAATGTATGATAAAATTTACTTATGAAACAGAAAGAAATACATTACTTTTCCTTAATATCATGTTAAACTGTACTGATAATGACCTAAAACTAAGTGTCTATCACAAATCAAACTAATAAAAATGATCTCAAATTTCTATTCTCTACATAATACCAAAATAAAATCTGGAATAATTATCGGATTCTATTTAAAAGCATTCAGAATTTATAGCCCTCAATATTTACATGAGGAGAAATACATTGAAAATAATTTTAAGCTACTCCAATATCCTAATTGTTTTATCTTCAACGCAAAACAGAAGGCTTGTCAAAATATAACAACAAACCATTCCATCAAATTCAACGAATCATAATATATTATTCTACCTACTAACTCTATCACAACTGCAATTGCAAAAAATTATCTAAGCTTAATATAAAATTGATTTTTACTTTGAAAATAATAAGAGACATAATTAATACAAAACGAAATAATAATAAGCTAAAAAGTTGAAGGTGGAATTTATTCTATCAACCTTGATTACCACAAGGAATACTTAGGAGAAACCTTTAGGAATTTAAATAAAAGATATGAACAAGAGATTTTTTTACAAAAGTATAAGGAAACTGAATGAAATTGGCTAAACTACATGCCTAGGCATGACCCCCCCAACCAACTTAAAAAAAAAAGAAAATTTCTGCATTCCAACATCTTCAGTGTTTCCTGTCAATGCATAATTATAACCAGTGCTTGTTTTTGTATCTTCCCTTCCTCCACACATAATTCCATAAGCAAAAACATGTAATCCGATGAAGTACTTCTAGAGGTTGAAACGTGTTAACAGAATTCTTTTCCACATTGTCATTCATTTGCCTTATATATATATATATATATATATATATATATGATATTACTTATCAGTTGATGTAATGTTACAATGCCAAATATTGTATAAGACTGCATTTCATTTTGTTTCTTTCAAGCTCATTTCTGCGCATGACATAATTGATATTAAGTCACAGCAAGTATCTTTCGTTAATTCAGTAAAAAAAAACCAAAACAAAACAAAAAACAATGATTCACGACAAACAAAAACATGTAATCCGATGAAGTCCTTGCAGAGGACGAAACGTGTTAACAGAATTCTTTTCCAATTTGTTATTTATTTGCCTAAAATTGTTCTGCTAGACAGACATTTATATATCACTATCCCATACGTATGTAAATATATGCACATTTGTGCTTGTTTATTTCTGAGTATGACTTTTTCTGTCTTGATGCATATGTATGCATCAATGTACGTTTTAGTTAATGAATATATATATATATATATATATATATATATATATATATATATATACGTGTGTGTGTATGTATGTATACGCGCGTGTGTATGTATGAGGAGGTGTGGCATTATTATGGTTAAATGTAAACAAAGTGCACTTAAAGAGCGAGAAGAGTTGCCTGCCTCTGTGAACGCGCTTCCACCACGTAATCGTCCCTGCCTCGAGGAACGCTATCCGTCACGTGTTTTTTCCATCCAGTTCACGTGCCGTCGTATCGATCTGATATAAGAAGCGTGGCTGAACTCGTTGGTAAAGATAGTGCAGTAGAGACAAAGAAGTAATGTCCCAAAAATATTTTTCCTACTATCGTTTGTTTTCACTTCGACTGCATTCGTAGCAGCCACAAATCCGGCCACCATCATTGAAAAATATCAGATTTTAGGTGAAAGCGTTAAGACAAAACCCCACCCACAATGTAATCACACCCGTTAAGTTAAACACACCCACAAGACGGTCAACTCATTGATCCACCCCAACGACTCCATAAACCCTGATTAACCTAACCTAATGTTATACTGGTATAGTTTCTATTATTTAACTATTACGCCTCCCCCCACTTTTGTCGCTTCCCAAACACTAATGGGACCGCCCTTTTTTTCTTTATCGTTATATTTATTGCTCTTTATTACAGCTGGACAGTCTTAATATTACGAACACAATCTTTGCTTTCCCCACCTAATTTCTGGGCGTCAACTTCAAACCTCCTTGCGAATTGAACCCCCGTAGTTTAAATCACACAGGCAATGATCGCCTTCAACCCCGCCCTCGTCCCTCTTGTATTCAAGACAGTTTCGACCAGTTCAAGACAATTGGTTGTAAGGCAAGGATGAGGTAAAGGGCACTCAAAGTGTTCTTAGACACCACCATAAAACATAACTAAATGGCAGGAAGTCGGGACGGAATCTGTTTGCTTCACGCTCTTGTGCACGTGTTCATCGACTAATCGAGAGGTGCATAACAAAGATTCACAATCTCAGTGCTGAGTTCGAATTCTAATCGAGTTAGTTACGCTTGGGAAAGTCATGAAATCATCTACTACTCCTAAATACAGGTTTAATAGTAAGACTTGTATTTGGTAAAACCATTGTTATTCCCAAAGAAATTGTTAATGCCATTCAGATCAAGGGCCTTGTCATCCCTTCGGGGAACTTCTCCATGATGGAACATGTCTTCAGGAGTGTAGACCTACTTAACACGGTTTTACAATTGCAGGTTGGTAAAACTATTTAACCCATTGTTGGGGGTAGGGTGAATTCAATGAATATTCGAGAAATCTTATTATAGAAAAAAATGCGCCCTCCGATAGGATTTGAACTTGGGTCTCCTTTGGCCGGAGAAATGGCATATTTTGCTTCAAGCCTGAGTTATTCACATGGGGCGCTTTTTTTTTAAAAGTATTCATAAATCCTAGTTGGCAACTTATTCCTTTTGCTCCCTCTAACTACTCCCCTGTGTCATTGAGGTTGTGTAGGACCCGTAGGTTTAGCTTAGTTGTCTTCTGGGTGTCTTGTCACATCACCTTATTAACGAAGATAAATTTTCATTATATATATATATATATATATATATATATATATATATATATATATATATATATATATATATATATATATATGCATGTATGACAGAGTGGAAAAAGTTTTCGTGTGACACGTTTCGTCCCTTAGCACTTCATCCTACAAAACTCGTTACACGAAAAACTTTGTCATGTATATCTCCTCCAAAATTGTTCTTGATATATAAAACATTATATATTATCTCATATATATATATATATATATATATATATATATATATGTGTGTGTGTGTGTGTGTGTGTGTGTGTGTGTGTGTGTGTGTGTGTGTGTGTGTGTGTGTGTGTAAAATTGATAGGTTAGTTAATAAAACAAGGACAAACGAAAGGGTACTAATATAATCAGTACGAAAAAAACATTTATTAAATATTAATTATATGCCAAAAATGAAGCACAGAAAGAAAGATTTTAAATCCGGAACTTTCGGACACCCCTGTGTCCTTCATCAACGGAGCGAGAAATAAATAGAGAAATGAGAATTACTCACCGAACATTATTACTCTATTAGTGTTGTAATTATGAGTTTAGCTAATGTAATATCTTTCTATATTTTGGCTATTATTGAGGAATACAACTTTTTTCTTCTTGCATTGGATTGGTGTGTTTTCCCTCCAACTTACAACATATTTTTATGTAATAAATTTATTATAATTTTCATTTCAATGAATAATTATAACTGCAGTTCAAGATTTGATTTAATGACTATTGAAACGGAAATTTCCTGCTATGTTATTTTTTTCGGCAGTATGACTATTTTACATAAATGTAACACTATAAGCATTTTTGTACTGGGGCGTGTAAACACCCCAGCGGACGATCCATTTTCAAAAATCCGATGTGTCTAACTCAGGGTTAATAAGATTTCTGGGATATTCAGTAAAGGAGACGAAATTAAACAAATATACTGTTTAATAAATAAACGGAGCGTCGACTCAAATATGGGTAGACATTAAAAATAAAATTTAAGTAATAAAATCTGCCGGAGTAGCGATTTTCACAAGGCCGAAAGTAAAGGACACCCTGTGAGGATCGAACTCACTTCTCAGTCGTAATTGTTCCAGCGAGACAAGCTTGCTAACCGTTACACCACTTCGAGGTGCTCTGAATCAGTTGCAGTCATAAAGGAAAATCCTCCACTTCTTATGTTAGTGCATGTAACGAAGTCGACTGGAATTCGAACTCGGATCTCTGATTCCGAGCCGCTATTTGTTACACCACCCGTGATTCCAATAATATTAATGCAGTATTCACTCACAAAAGAAAAGAAAAGAATTATTCTAGCCATCCAAAATATGTTTTGGGTTTTAATAACCCATAAAGGGTTGATGAACCGTAAAAAATAGATGAATGAATCAAAAATAGCCTCAGTGCTTCAATATATGCATTTCACAAATTTTTAAAATGGGTAAAATGAGAAAATGATTGTTATTGTCGTCCCTCCAATTCCCTTCTCTCTTGAAACGAAAATAAAATCACAGTTCTATCGTTCGTATCATGATCTTATTGAGCTCTCAAATGACCGGAGGAAAAAACCGTCTGATGTCGGACACCATATTGAATTTCTTATTACTGCTACCAGCAATGTCAGCGATGAAGCATAAATTATATTCCATTAGTAAATTGACATCCTAATCGTGATTCTTATGAGCATGATTAAATTTTTTCTTGCTCCCCTCACACGCACAAAAAAGAACTTAATGACCACAGAATCCCAGCATCAGTATTTAGTCAAGTTCAATATTATCATCACCATTGACACAGAGAGAGAGAGAGAGAGAGAGAGAGAGAGAGAGAGTATCTCTTTCTCTTTTCACACTCTAATCCCTTTCTCTCAATCTTTCTCTCTCTATCTCTCATGGGCTTTCGATTACTACATTGTCTAATTATACTTTCAGTTTCCTTTCGGAGTCTGCAATCAACGTATTCTATGCTTTTAAGATTAAATCCGCCAATTATAAATCCCGACAGGACTCCTAGTTCTCTTAGGATCAATTCCTTTAATATATATATAGTGAGATAACGCATTTTTGTTTTATTTATGTATCTTAGAAATTACGTTAAATCACGTTGACACACCTGTTCTTTTACGATTACCGAAGCTAAGCAACGTCGAGCCCTGTCAGTACCTAGATGGGTGACCGTTTGGGAATACCAGGTGCTGTAAGCTTAGATGTACAGGTGCTGTGTAATGGAAAATGTGGAAGGATTAGAAATTAGAGAGCGAGTTTCAATTCCAATTGCGTTCGCTATATTCACTTAAGCGCAAAAAAAAAAAAAATATAAAAAAAACTTGGAAAAACTATAACTCCACTTCTTCTCTCCTCAGCTATGAGTTAATTAGTAGGATTAGCCTTGCTGCCGGATGTAGTTTATCGTCATACCCAGTACGGCTGAAGATGAAGTCAGAATGCATTTATTACTTAGTAATACAAGTCTGGATACAAGTTTGGATATCAAAATTAGAGGTGAAACTGAAAAGTTTGAGAGATCGTCACATATGTCCCGGAAAGGGATATATTTGTTCGAAGTAGCAAAGTGGTTGTTGACTATTGTAACCGAGTAAGACAATCTAGCAGGTAACCGTAATGGACTGGTCCTCGTCGTAGTGGTAGGCAATAGGCATCGTCAATAGGCGTCATCCCTGTACCTCCACATCAGTCTGTATTTATGGCTGACACCAGCCAATCATATTACTGTGAGGGGGAACCCAGATATATGCATATTCATTACATCATATATGTATCGTTCTCTTGAGGAAAATCTCAGAAAGAATGAGAAATGGAATCAACAAGAACATCCAACCGACTGAACATTCATACTGTCAAGTGTATTCTATGCTTTTAACATTATATCCGTCATTAATAAATCCCGACAGGACTCCTAGTTCTCTTAGGATCGATTCGTGAAAAACATTCAGTGAGATAACGCATTCTTGTCTTACTTATGTATTTTAGAAATGTCAGCTTTCTGATTGTAAAGGCTTACACCCATTCCACGTTGAAACAACGCTTCTCATACGATCACCGGTTAAGCAATTTCGATCCTGGCCAGTACGTAGATGGGTGACCGCTAAGGAATACCAGGTTCTATAAGTGTGGGTGTGCAGGTGGTGTAATGGATAACGGCTTGGAATTAGAAGTCAGGGTGAGTCGGGTTCGTTATATTCACTCCCACGGAAGGAATCCGTTTCTTCTAACAAACCCCCCACCCATCCACCAGCTATGTGACTTGTATCAGCAAATAATTATTATCTGAAAAATTCGTACAATCTAAAAATCTTTTCTGGTTTTAAATCATCTGCAAAAGGTTGATATGCTGTAAAAATCATATCAATCAATCTTTCATTTATTTCTCTCTCTGTCATTTCTCTCTCTCTCTCTCTCATTTCTCTCCCGCTAATACAGCTCCCTCTCCCATTTTTTTCTTTCTCTCTCTCTTCAATTTCTCTTTCTTTCCTTTCTTTCTCTCATTTCTCAGCCTCCCTCTTTATTCTCTCTCTCATCTCTCTCCTTTTCTCACTTCCTTTTCTTATTTCTCTGTCTTAATGATCTTTCCCCCCCCTCTCTCTCTCATTCCACACAACCTCTCTAATTTCTCTTTCTCTCATCTCCCTTTCTCTTATTTCTCTCTTATTTCTCTCAAACTTTTTTAATTTAACACTCTCATTTTCCTCTTTTTTCTCTCTCATATTTCTTACTCTCTCTTTCTCACCCTTTCTCTCTCTCATCTCTATCTCTGCAAGTAATGTTTCAGGACACCGTATTCTAATCTCACCTCAAATAAGCATTTGTGGAATATATAAATTACTACGGACTCACACACCCACACACACATAATAACAAAAACAACAATAATAATAATAATAGCTGGCCACTCGTATTCGAGGATACCCATCTACGAGGTCAGCTAGACAATCACTATTGCAGAAGCTCGCTCAGGCACATTTGTGTTTGTTCAAAAAGTGCCCGTTGTTTATACTGCAACTATAACACACACACACACACACACACACACACACACACACACACACACACACACACACACACACACACACATATATATATATATATATATATATATATATATATATATATAGCTGCATTCCTCTAGTAACCACTTTCAACCCCCTCTGCCTCCACTATCCCAAATAATCAAAAGTCGCTAGGAAATACTACATCTCAAACCAGACCTAAAAAAACTGCTTAAGGAACCCGGCCTTCTTGCATATCGTAGACATAAGAACCTAAAAGAAATCATAGGTAGTAACCACATTTCAGGGGACAAGGTAATCCGTAATAAACCTACAACAAAAACAACAGGATTTTCCCAACCATGTAACAACAAAAGAAGTTTATGCTGCAACCATATTAAACACACGAATTCATTCACTAGCTCAGTCACTAAATCTACTTTCAAAATCTACCACGATTCTAACTGTAGAAGTAATAACATAATTTACCTCCTAGAATGCACACTATGCCAGAACAATATGTAGGAAAATCTGAATGGCCCTTTCAGTACAGAATTAATAATTATCACAATCGAATTTAGTCGACTCCCCATGAAAAATTATTACCTGTAGAACAAGATTTCCGCCTAGAAAAACACGATTTCAAACCCATGCCAACTTCACTATAATTGAGAGAATAGAAAAGTTCAGAGCAGATAACATTAGAAAGATTTTAGAGTTCCATGAAAATAAGTGGATACAACGTCTAAAAACACACTATCCAGACGGGCTAAACCATAAACTTAACAATACAGATAGTATTAATATATAACCCTACAAATCAAAACCTAACCACATTTCTCACCCACACAAGACAGATATACTTATGGAGGTGTTGAGGCCTCACACTTATACACACACCCACACGAACATACACACTTACACACATCATACTCACTCACTCCCTAATGAGCCAAATGATAACACACATCCACAGCAATACACACGCTTACACATATCATACTCATTCACTCCCTAATAACCAAATAACACACACACACAAACACACTTAACAGAGACACATCCCCTCTCCAGGAACCAAAAAAACTGTCAAACTGTCCAGGGGAATTCAGAGCAGCATAGATCCATCCAGCTCTTATCTCAAATAACAACTTAAAAGAGACTGTTTGACCAACACAAGGAATGTTAAAAGATTCATGTTAAAAAGATAAAAAAATAAAAAAGACAAATGAAAACTACAGACAAAAGCTCATTTTCTCCAGCAAGACATTCATTTCTATAGTTTACTGCTACCAGCAAGCAGAAATATTTCTTCTCCTGATGATGGCCATTTTAGCCGAAACTAGTCGAGGAATCTAAATGAAATAATAATAATAATAATAATAACGAAAGAATATTAATCTACAACCCAGTGTGTCTGAAGATTTTAATATTTTTTATTGTTCAATATATATATATATATATATATATATATAGCTGGCCACACGTATTCGAGGATGCACATCTACTAGGACGGCTAACCAATCCCTATTTGTTCAACACCGACAAAGCTAACCTGTAGTTTATACTGCAACTATTCTGAACAGACCTTAGTTACAGTTTCTGGGAGAGAGCCTGTTATCTCACATGATCAACAATCTGAACAAATCCAACACATCAACCCTCGGTCCCTTGTGACTTGTATACACGATGAATTGTGACTTCGCGCTCGCACAGTTATCGACGGCCCTCTAGTGTTTCCGTCTATTCAATTTCACTCATAAAGCTTGGGTCAACCCGTGGTGTGGTTTTCAGGCACTTTCCAAAGGTACTGCACGTTGGGATCGTCCCCTTCCAAACCAAACTATTCCAAAAAAAAAGGAGCACCAGGAATACTTCCATCAAGGGAAGCGATTCTGAATAAAATGAGTGGCTTCAGAAAAGAACTGCTTCGAAGGAGTTTAAATGCCGAATTGATACGTGTTGTTTTTTTTTATAGCACGTCCCGATATTTTTGAACAGACCTTTTACATGCATACATATATACAGGGTCGTAAAACTTTAAGAATCGTTTCATCTACATGAAGTAGCTTCTAATATTGGAGAACAAATCTTTTAGAAAATCTATATCTCTAAGATTCCTTGCATTATTTGCATTATTCGGACACATGGCCCAGTGGATAAAGACGTTGGTTAGATCCAGTGAGTAGACCCAAAGAGTTGTGAGTTCAATACCAGGCCACAACTGTTGCAAACCAAAACTTGGGGAGTTGAGTTAAAGGGAAATACCTGAAACACCTGGAAGAGGCATGGCAACTAGAAACAATTTACTCCGCTGGACGAAATAAAGGGTTCGGTTCAAAATTCCAATCACCTGAAGAAGGCCGGAGCGAGCAAGGTTATGAATATGGCAATGAAGATGAGGATTATAGTTCGAATAATGTAAATAATGCAAGTAAATCCATATCCATCGTGATGAAATGACAGTAAACTTGTTCTTTGCTTTGCTCTTTGTGCAGATAAAAGGAACCTGAGATGAAGAAAGTTCTCGATCAAAACCGGTCTATTAGTCGTATTTTGCAAATATTAGAACTTTTTTAATTTTATATATATCCTTAATTTGGGGACACTACGACTGAGTAGTGAGTTCGATCCTCACTGGGTGCTCTACACGTTTGTCCTTTAGCCCCATCAAAGCTTCGCTTAGAAAATCAGAGGGCATTGGTGTAATGCTTAGCAAACTTGTATCGTTACATCAATTACGACTGAGAAGTGAGTTCGATCCTCCCTAGGTACTCCTTTCATTCGGCCACAATTAAGCCTACGCTTAGAAAATTGCTATATGTTTCTTAATTTCTCGTTCAAAAGAAATACTAAAGTAAATAGTGATTATTTATTAGATTAAAATAATAACCCACCAACATTGTACCTCTCATCGTTGATCGTCTGTCACCATCAGTCCGATGGTCTCGAGTCGCTGCGCACTTGAGCACATGACCAGCTCCCTCTATATGTCTTGGCTGTGTGTCAATGTCTGGGTCTCTGCGAAGGATCTTCCAGTTCAGTCAGTAAGTTTGTCAGTCCATTTTATCTCTTTTCGCTTTTTCTTTGGCTGAAGATGGAACGCAAAATTTACTAAAACGAAAATGTATAGAAAGTGCTTTAAATTTGTGTCTAGCTTCTTACGGTGTTTCACCATTTTTGGCAGATATTCTT